ATCGTCCTGATGGACCACATTCACAGCTCGCGTTCACACTCGAATCCAGAAAATGTTCTAGAATTCGATGATCATGGAGTGTCTAAATTCATAATTTGCCCTCCCCCATTCAGCCGATGTCAAAATTTAGCAACTGTTTGCAAATTTAAGCCGTAAGTTAGCTGCAGAGAACGAGTGAGGTGAGATGGGATTTAAGTGTTATTTTTTGAGTGTGATTGCATTCGTTGATCAGATCAACTGAAAGAATACTTTATTCAGGTCGGCAGTAAAACCGATGGATTTCAAAACTGGACCGAGAGGCGTCGATACTTCTGAAGCCACACAAACTAACTCAGCATCAATGAGCTGCAATCCTTCTCACCAGGGTGAACAAAGAAAGTCAGTAAAAAGTTATCGTGCGAAGCAGTATAAGGTATCGAATAAATTGTCTATGTCATTACATGAACCAATACTTTGTCGTCGCTTATAGCCATCTTGAATGACTGGAACATTTTCGAAACATTTTCAAGTCAAGCATCTATGAAATTCATTCGATCTTCACAAGATCTAATTTCATTGAAATATCAAGTTCAATTGCCAGTACGAACATCTTAACGAGCCATCAATATCGATCACCTTGTTGTTAGCATCAATTTTCAGGAACTCAGAAGCTGTTGTTCGCACTCTATATCAGCCAACATTAATGGGGATACTAAGCAGGAATCAAGCAAGAGAATTTCGGATTCATTAACAAAAGTACGTATTATTCAAACTTTCTCGTTATTGCGATATTGTGGAGTAATTTCAAAATCTGTTCAAGGAGGCAACGTAATGTTTTTGTGAAGCTGATCTGGCTGAGACATTTATACAGAACAGAAAGAATGTATTCAATCGCTTCCCTTCGAAATTGTCACATATTGAGAGGCAATCCAAAAGTGTGACTAAATCAAATAAATGTGGAGTGTGCTGGGCTAATCCGTCATAAGGAAGTGATACGATGAGAACAGCTGTAATGGCTGCAATATTTCATTCATCCGTTCAATTTTCAAAGCAGCTTTCATCGATCCTTGAGGTGAATCGTTAGAATCAGTTTCAGCGCGTTCGAGTGGTACTGCCATGCGGAGTGATTAAATCGATCGCAGAGAAGTTACGAGTTTATGATGATGATGCACTACCGATCGATATTTATTTATCCTCCTTTGATGTTCATCCAGTACGTTATTTCTACGATTTTTTTACCACAGTTTTTCTGTTTTCTTGGTATGAAATTGAGTTGTTTGTACGATTTGATCACTGCTCATTTGGCACATCACTAAAGCAGTTTACACAACTCACCTTTATTATATTTTTCGCGATCTTTCACTGACGTTTATATTTCAAACGACATAAACAGAAAGTATTAATACAAATATCTAAGAAATTGTTCGTGGAGTGCTTTCATGAAGTGAATGTTCAAATGTTCAATTGCAACATTTTACTGAAGTGATCAATCGTTCAGGCCACTAAACTACCGAATGCGGCACTTTTCATAAAGTATCCGAAAAAACGAGGTGGTGAACCGTTAGCGCTATCAACAACACCAGTCACAAATCGATTCGCTCAATCGGCTTGAACTGAAGACAGATGCTATCGCGAGAGGAAATTTATTCAGTGTTACACACTTACTCTTCACCATTCGACATGCTCATCAACATAGATCATTTCAATAAGATTGCTATTTTGGTACTGATGGAATTCGATGTTTCATTGACTGAATATGAAAACGAACTATTTCGAGTATTCTAAACCGGTATTAATAAAATATGACGTAAAACAGTGAAAATTTTCTCAATTATTTTGATAAACTGATTTTACAAGTTCAACAAGTATTTAAGATTACGTTATGCATTTTGCCCTTATTGATCACGTCAAAGCATTCAAACATTTCAACTGGAACTGCTCTCAAATGAACGTTCAATAAAAATTCCTTCAATGACAGAATATGCGCATTGAATCGTTTGAACAACAAAATATTATGCTTCGTTTACGAATTGGTGTATGAAAACTAAAAGAGTGCCAACTGATCCTCAAACTGAGCTCACAAAAAGATCCCTCGATGAAAAATGTTCTCAAATTACAATCTATTTAGAACATCAGATCATTACGTTTACCAACTTGACTGATCATCACAAACCATCAGAATGCACAACATATCATTCTTGTCATTCATCTCAACAACGAAAAAAACGACGACAGACGTGTTCATTACTGTTCTATCATTATCATTCCCCCCAATGCATTTGGCGAGTACACTCTGATCAATCATCAGAAAACCTTCGAAAGTTCCAGTTTTTTTCCTAATTGTAAGCACAATCAACTTTATATCCAACTGTAATTCCACTTGAAAGAATGGCTTTGAATTATCAAGTCTGAAGTGGCTAATCACACTGTCGCAGATCAGATCTTTCGCCGCTCAAGATACATTTCTAAACGTTTCATCGCGATATGTTTCCATCATGAAAAGAAAAAATCTGACATCCCAACTTACTCTGCTTTATTACCAACACATTGTTTTAGCTAATGCTGAATCTATAATGACTTGATAGAGCTAGCAAAAAAATCTTTAGAAATCGGTCATCTGATGAGTTTTTGATTGATCTTGACATCAACTAATATCAGAAAAAAAACTTCTCTTGAGAACTTTCTTTGATCCGATCGAAAGCGCTCTTGTTGATAAACATGTGAGCTTGTTTTAACGACATTCAATTCTTCATTTTTTTTCGAGCTGAGATCGAATTATATACATGCAAATAGATGTGCATGTCTGTGGGCACGAAAAACTTTCGTAAAAGATGATGCACATCGTTACTAAGGTAACAACTAGCTGCCTATGTAGTTCACCAATAATATTTCATTCGGATGTACATCTGATGAGCTCAACTAGAAAAATGGCTTCAAAATTAGCACATCAATTGATAAAATAGTTGAAGCGAAAGCTGAAATTTGGCACTAAAAACTGATTGCAATCTTATTAATCGAAATATGTTGAAGTAATTGGATCTCGTGATAACCTGATCCTAAAAAACTTCTCTTGGGAACTTTCTTTGACCAGATCAGATCAATTACTCAATATTCCGGAAAAAACTACTCTGTGAAAAAATTGTACGATATCGTAAAAATTTGTCTCACAAATGAAATGATCTTTTTTTGATTGATAACAAGACGGCACTATTCTTGGTGATAATGATCATATGCCACATGAATATGGCAAAAGGAGCCACCAGAAGCATTCCAGAGAGATTGTTCGTTCTAAGTGACCGCAGAAATAATGCGATTGTTCATTTCTTATATTCTGCGACTAAATAAAACACAATCTAGAATGTGTTCAGGACACTGTGCATTTCATTAAAAAACGTATAGATGAGCGATAATATATAATAATTGAGTAGAGCGATGTCAGTCAATGATGGCTGTTAATTAGCGGTAACATTTGATGCGTTATACGTTTGTGATTACTGGCACATGACAAATGTTTCACGAAATCTGGCTCGAAAACAGCTGAAGGCTCGAAAATTGACTTATTTTCAGCTTGAAAGTTCTCTCGTCTTACAATTAGTGATCTCATGTAATGGATCTGAAAATTCTTTCAAATTCTCCTCTATTCTCTGATCGTTCATTATATACATTGATCAAATAGCGCTTCGATTTTACGATACTTTGAAAATCCGAACTTTTTTCGTCGTTTTATCACCTGGCTAAATGGCGCAGCGCCGTTTTAAACTGGATGCATCATATGATAAAAGAGTTGAAGCGAAAGCAGAAATTTGGAACTGGAAACTGATTGCAATCTTATTAACCGAAACATGTTATCTTATTATCCGAAACATGTTATTTTATTATCCGAAACATGTTATCTTATTATCCGAAATAGCGATGTTACCTGTGAGTTCTAACGCTGATTGCAAACAAACTCATATAAATATTATAAAGTTTTTCAACGGAATGTTCATTTTCTCAGCCAGCAATTGATGTGTTGAACAGCGATAAGTGGAATGAACAGCGATAAGTTGGATATGTGAGAGTTATTGGGTTGTCATTTTGATATATTCATCTTCCCTGAGCATACATATGTTTCATGATTTGTTGCTCATTTTTAGACGATTACAAACACGATTTGATGTAGATCCGTGCAATTGTTCATCATTTATCATTTACTGGTTTTCACTAAAAATTAGTCGAAATCATGCCAGTCTGAAGCATCAGGAATTCACTTTCGTCAGATTCCACACAAAATCTGAGTCCTCAAACAACGTACGCCGAATGACATAACAAGATCGTTGAACAATTATTCAAATCCATAATCTTCCAGTATTTCGTACAGACTCAATTAATAAAGCTCTCAATTAATATTTTCCGGACGGAACTGAGGCTGAAAATTCTGGCGCACAGAGATTCGATCGAGTGGATTAGCTAAGAGTTAAGTGCAGATATGAAATTGGGAATGAAGAATTTAAGTGGATCTTATTTTCAATCATAACACTGTACTGTCAAGAGCAAAACAAGAACCATAGACTTCGAATTGAAAAATCTTCGAGGCTGATTCAATTCAATCCGTTGAATCGACATAATCCTTTGGTCCAATTTTTGATCTATACGACATTTAGCCGTTATTTCATGGAAGAGACTTTTTGCAATGGAACAAAATCGTACGCAAACAGAGAACAGTAAAGAAAGAATGAAATGTGAAAATGAAAGTTTTAATGGAATATAATTCGGAGGGCGAACAGGAGAATTTAATTATGAAGAGGAATGAGCTTATGAAACAACAGAACTTTCATAATGAGTAGTTCAAAAGATTGCGAAGCATTTTCAGTGCAATCGTATCTTGTATTGGTGACCAACATGCACAGTGCTCGTGGTGCTAGAGTCGAATGTCAAACACCAAGAGCCTTACTCAAACGCGGCGTGTCGCTACCTCGACGAGACGATGTTTGTGGCGATGTCAAGCGATTAGGATTCTGCGCATCTTCATTCAGGAACGATGATGCACCTAGGTCGTTTGGTGCCACGGCCTTCGAACAGAGCAAATTTTGTGCCCGATGTCGCCAGCCAGTGCTTTCGTTGGATTTCCTCCGTGGTCGGCTCAACGTAATCGAGTTAGATGGCAAGGAGGAACGGTGATGTGAATGTTCATTATTGTCAATATTAGTGGAGTCATCATTGCTGTTATGGTTGTTAGTGTTGTTAATAGCAACTTTGATGCTGTTAACATGTCGGCTGGAGATAGCGTTATGGCTGGTGTTAACAGTAGAGCGGAAGGATTTCAACTTACAGACTTCTGGTGGTACAGGCTGCGGCTGTGGCTGATTTGACGAATTACCACAGCCCATAAGTGTGTTTTATTGTCGATTATTATGGTGCTTAACAGCCAGTAATAGTGATAAAATGCTGGTAGTAATATTGGTAATGTTGTTAACAGCAGTAGCCGCAGTAATATTACATCAAAAGCAAAATTTATGACAAACAAAGCGATCCACGGATCTAAACATTCACAAATGCAGCTTTAACAAGGCATAAACTCATCCGCAAATGAGCGATTGAATGAAAGACTGCAATTGAGGGTGATTGAGTGCGAGTGAATCCGTGATTTATGTCTACCTATATTTCTTGTTACACAAAAATATTAACAGCAGTAAATTTTCAACATTTGTTCGGGAATTGTGAATGATTATATGGTGAGTTGGTTGATTGGCTAAGCAGTAAGCATTGAGTATGATCTGTTGTTGAATAGCGCCATTCAATATATTCGCTAATGAATGACTTGTTTCAGATGACTTGCCGTTTTACTAATTCTTTTATATCATACAGCCATTAGTCTAATCCTCATCGCTACACATCCCGTACGCATCTCGTTCCAGCTCAAAGCACCACACTCCGCCTACATCCTTTCATCTCGCTTACGTCAATATGCAATTTATCTCTTCTTCTTCTGACATAATACAACTCTCGAGGATGATGATGATGATTTCGATATTCATTATCGATTCGTAATAATGTGCTGATGAACACAACTTGACAAGACTATGACACTCGATTGCCATCGTCATATCCTATCGCAACGCATACCACCACAAATCCTCAAGTCCTTTTCAAATCCGTTCAAATGCTTTCAGATCGTTTCCTTAAACACCTTCAACAAAAATAGGCGACTCTTATGGCCGTTTCTACGATAGCATAGGCATGCAAAGTTTATTTAGTTGAGACAGACAGTGAGTCAATTGCAATTTTGATCCTGAAAAGTACTTTGCTATATCAGCTGACAGAAGAAACTCATTATTNTCATTATTTCAACACTTGCATTGATTATTATGCTGACAACTATTTTTATTCGAGTTATCACCGTCTGGAACTTTTATTAGTGTCTTGAAAAAAGTTTATAATTCCACCCACATTTACCAAGAAAAACATTTACTGGGTTATTGAAACAGACTCGTCAGACTCGTTCTGGTTTGAAATATCATGGGACACGAATTGATTTATTGAGTGAATTGAATTGAACAGATTTCACCGCCCACCCAACAATATTTTTACTGCACAGTTACTTGTACAAAATGCATTCACTGAAGAAAATTTGGTATTTCATTGTAACTTATTTTCAAATTGGATCGATTTCTTATGGATCGAATGCAATTATAAATGCATCTTTTCCAGAAGAATGGTAATCTTTACACATGATACTTTCCTTCTACAATGCTAGTTGTTGAGTGCATAGCGCATTGACCTTATCGATGTTATATGATGATATGATTTTATTTTCGTTTGCATTGAAACGTAATCGGCAAATAAGAACAGCATTTGACAAATAATATTTATTGAGAAGTGTTGACAATGTTTATTAGGCGGTATTGAGAGAAATCCGGCGGAATATGCAGATTTGGAAAATAGATACGTCTTTATTCAGCAATTCCAACCACCGTTTACAATTTACAGTTTCACCTCGTTGAAGATTTTCATCTGACACTCAACCATTTTCATCTGGTTCTCTTTTATGACTACCTCAAAAACTCAAATGGAAATCACCAAAATTTCAAATATCTCTTCCCATCAAGGATGTTCTTCTCTGCATACGCCACCGATCAACTCAGTAATCACTTATTGATTGATTCAATGGGGGCTCTGCTACATAGAGGCAAGATCGCAGTAATTGTTCCTGTCACCTAGAAAATAAATATAACCAGTAATAATTACGACTCACGTACTTCCAGACGATAGCACAAACCTACATGAATTTTCAAAAATCTACATTCATGGATTCCAAACTTCTTCAGAATCAGCAGACCCTTTGGTTCCACCACTCAACATCATAATGGGCTGAGAAAACCACACTTTTCTGAGGGATCCTTCTCAAAGTACAACGAAACAAATTTGTGAAAGCAAAGAAGACATAGATTGTGAATGAGGTGATAGCATTTTTCTGAATGCAGAGATCCTGCTCGATCGACTGGAGTGAAAAAATTAATATGTCACTGGTCAAAGCTGAGAGTACTGTAAGGTTCAATGAGCTAACCCCTATAGCATCAGATAAATAGCTATAT